TCACCACCAGCCACACACTATGCTCCGACAGCGAGGAGTAGCAGGGCAATCTGTTGGGTATTTTTTCCTTGCCACCCTAGGGGCATACCTATGGTAATGCATTTCCTTTTAGCAACGATAGCAAACAAAGCAAAAAAAACACACAAAAAAACCCAAAGCAAAATACACAAGCGAACAAAAATAAACAGCCCCTCAAAAGATAGCAAAACAAAATAAAAAATTAACCCAAACGTAACCTTAAAGTAAAAGGCAAACAAATAAAGCGGCATAGAGATTCACGACAACCAGTTTCCTCTCGTTACCGAAGGTCAGACCACGGGATTTAATGATCACTGTATTTATCTGTTATGACAAACAAACAGCTATTAATGCCATCAGCAGTTGCTGCCGTTCTAACCTGAGCGGCTCTGATCAACAAGCTGATATTGATAATTATTATTATTAGGAGCTTAATTCCGGGTGTGTTCTCGGTCAAAGGATGATTTTCTGTGGGACAAATCAAGACTGTTAGAGATTTGGATAATATTATTGGACTTAGTGATTAGAGAGAGGGAGACAAAAGGAAAGAGGGAGAGGGGGAGAGGGAGGGAGGGAGGGAGAAAGAGAGGAGGAGGGAGAGGGGGTGAGGGAAGGAGAGTTGGGGAGGGAGAGATAGGGGGAGGAAGGGAGGGAGATAGGGAGGGAGAGGGAGGGAGAGAGAGGGAGAGAGATGGAAGGAAGGAGGTAGGGGTTGATTTGGAGACGCTTTTAATCATCCAAGTTCAACATAATTATTAGTAACAGTTCCTCGGAACGTTGCGCATGGGTCAGTTTGTCATTCAACGTAACAAAACCAAGACCACAAACTCTCGGTAAATACATGATTTTTTTCTGGCTTATCAGGATTGGTGTCAGGACATTAAATCTTTACTATGACCGAATGTCCTATTGCATCATACGGTCATTTCTTTCCATAATTCGATAATAGGCCATAATTCTACCGACCTTTCATGGGCAAAATGTGACTATTCAGCTCCAGCGTTGATTTTGGGATTCAACCGGAACCTATGTAGAACAATTGACACGCGTTTGTGAATGGCCTAAAGCACAGTGCACAGATGGGCCGTTCAAGTCCGAGTCTTATTATCCTCCCCCCTCCCCCTCCCCCCTAAGCCTACCCAAAGCTCTTCTGTAAGCAAGGGCACGAAAATGCACGCTCGCGTGCGTGCGAGCACACACACACGCACACACACCACACACACACACACACACACACACACACTC